CCATTCGTTAACGCTATCCGGAGCTCCTAGCGCGAGCACCTCGTGCGCAAGGTACGCCCGCCCCTCACGACAGATGTTGCGACTCAATTAGTGAGAGGAGGTTCTGGCCGAAACATTTACACAGGTGATTCGTTCCGTAAGAGTAGTATATGTTACATCCTGTCGTGCGAGCACTGGACGCTCCTCGTTAACCACGCTGCACCTCGTTCGCCAAATACGTTCTCACGCCTTTACGGACCAAATGAATGTGTAGGTTGATGTGTAGGGTGATTGATTAGTGACACCGGTCGCGTCAATGCTAAGTTATTAGTCCCGTAATTGCAGAGCATGTTTTCTCTCCCGTGAGGTCCTGTGATCTTCCTCCACTGGATGACGAGACGCAGAACCAACCTACGTCAGCTTGTGGGGATTTTACCTAACCAGGCGCCAATCTACGAGCTAAACATAAATTATTCACGAAAATTATTAAAATATTTACAAACTGTTGATACAAATGAACACTTTCTAATAATACGGTTACCAGAAATATATTTCAGGCTTTATTAACATTTTTTATAGCCCGATGACCTATCACGCGCGTTTAATTACTTTTCATTGCGCTTTCTCTCGTCTCTCTTCCTTGCGTACTAGTGTTCTTCACTTTTCATTAAATATTTCTTTAATTCCATCTAACGTGTACTATATTTTTTGTTCTCCTCTCTCATCTTCTTTCTTGTTTCTCTTCCTTTGTTTTACTAATTTTTCTTTTAATCTACCTGCTTTTTCCCTACAAATCCTTCATTCAAATTTCTGACAAAATTCTTGCTATACTAAACACTCACACACGCACGCGCCCACACACACATAAGTAATTATAAGCTTTTCTAAAATAATATGAATATTGTGGATTTCTGCCATTATTCTGCATACGTAGTTTTATTTAAAGAACACTATACATGAACTTCCTCATTTTCTCTTGACTTAGGTACGCAAACTTGACTAAGCTTCTTTAAACTGTAATTACAAAATTATTTTTCTTCCGTAGGCGGCTCGTCGCAAGGCCAAAGGAAAAGGTAAGGGCAAGGACAAGAAGAAAAAGTAGTGGAAAGAAGTGTTCGTCTACACATTACATCTGTATCATTTCTCCAGTTCATTTGTATGGCATTCTGAACGTTCCTGCGTGGAATGTTGTACATTTCAAGTGATCAATAAACAAGTAAAAGTCACGTTTTTTTCATTCTTCCTATTTGTGTGATTATTGATTCAATGATAATTGAAACATTACCTATTAACCTTGCCCAACTTTATTTATTGTAAATAATTGTGCTAACCAAATGCACTGTGGCCAACATCAAAATATTAAAAACTCTGAAATCTTACTTGCTTCCTCACCAAAATCCTATTACTTAAAATGCCTGCATATACCTGCCAACACAAAGCAATTATTTCCCAACAATGGAATAATTTGGGACAACTTGGAAAAGTGCAATATCAGCAACAACCCGAGATGCTATTTTCTGTGAGGTCCAACAGTCTATGCCAAATTGTACTGTTATTAAAACCAAAAATATAAATACGGATGGGTTCCACGCAGGTTTTCTCGCGATTTGTACATCTATTCATTCTATCGTTCGCTCCCGTCACAGTCACTGTCCTCTCCCCCCTCGTAAGGTTATAATTACATTTGTTCACAGATTTTTTAAAAAAATGTAAGAGAATGCAACTGACTGATCGTCGAGAACAAGCACATAGATTTAACATCCTAAGATCAAGTAGAAGATCAATTGGCATGAAAATATTGTGGGAAGCCCTGCGTTGTTAAGATGAGATACGGAGAAGGCTAACAAATAAATTATTAATTAACAAAATATTTCAGATTTCGTTGTACTGGTTGATTCTACGTCCGGTTTTGGTGAATCCTTCTGTCCGTCCCTGATAACTAGTACAAAGCAGGGAAGAAATTATTAGTTTCATGTGGCCGTTTTAGTGATTATACGTTTGGTCTTTTACTATCTTGTCTTTTTGTCTTATATTAGATGAGCTGGAAGTATTGTAATTTCATAATGATATTGGAATATCAAATCCCATTCCACTTCACAATAAAACAGTTTAGCTTCATACCAAAAATGAAAGAATCTCGCTATTGTCTACCAAAACCTATTTCAAATGCATCGAAGCGCTACCTAGCAACACAATCTATCTAAACACACTCACGTTTTCAAAGTTTTATTTTCCGCCGCCAGACATCGCATCATGCGTCGTGTTTGATTTGCTTAACAGCCAGTAGATAGCAGATATTTATAATCTTATTATATCTGCCATATTTATAAAATTAAATATTAGTTATAATAATTATGTAAAATGCTGTTACACAATATTTTTAAAAACATAGTATTTAGGTCCTCTGGTGGTTTTGAGATAAAAGTTTTATACCAAATACAAGAATTTTGAAATATCTTCTCTGAAGTTAATAGTCTTGCTTTCATGCATCAATCTGAATTTCAACAACAGCCAACAGTGATTTATTCAGTCTTTTGTTGAGTAATATTGTTTTTAATCATCTTAAGTATTCTTTAAGAACTTGATAAAAATGATTGATGTAAGCGTTTTAGTAAACCAGGCAAAGGTTTAAATAATGTTATAATGACATGTTTTTCAACTATACTGTAATATACCTCAATAATACAAGCAAATCTAATATTAGATACATATTTTTAAATGAGCTATTCCATGCAAATGTGATGAAATAATTATTTAACCCTGGAGATCATAACAAACAACCTGCGGCCCACAGAATCTCCTTAACAATCCAGAAACTCAGTGTGAAATCAGAAATAGTGGTCACCCTGCATTAAATGTTTCATTTCACTATGTTGAGCTATACAGATTAATAAAACATTAATTTAAAGCAATTGCCAACTATCAGGTTGTATTATAATTTCATTTTTGTTATTGAATTGTAATATAATTTTGGAATTCCAACACCCATTCACTTTAAAATGAAACACAATATTTTCTCTTTTGGTAAAAATGGCAATAAATAATTGGCTTTCATGTTAAAAAAATTACAAATCAGTTTCTAGAATGTACACTTCTCAATAAAGAACATAAAATTTCCCTAACTAGTAGTGCTTGTATTTGATATATTATTTTAATGATTTTACAGACAAGTAATAGGTTGCTATTGATTATTTTTTCTTTTTGTTAGGAATTTCATTCTTCTGAACTACATGTATCGTGTCGAGTCTTTTTTTCAAAGGCTTGTTATTCAGTGACGCTACCATAGGTAGAGTGGATGTTCTTAGGCTTAATGTTTTATGCACCTTTCTGACTTCAGTGTGCCTCATGTACATACATGTGTGGTTTAATCATTAATGTTTTTGACTTATTCACTAGAATACCATTTCCACTTTTCATTACTTTTACTTATTACTTCATTAAATTTATTTTTCAAAAATTACTTTTGAATTTAATTCTAGGAAGATCCTTTATTTCATTTCAAAGGGAATTGTGATGTCTGATGTATCCAAAGAGAGTATAAAAAACATTATTTCCATAATATTGAAACTGTTTGGAGAAGAGAAAATTATACCTTCATTGTTACTAAAGGCATCTGGAGCTCACAAAATGATTTCCCATCATTTACCAACAATTCTAATTTATCTACTTCACTACCAAATTAACTTGGAAAATCAATTGGAAGTAATAAATACACAAAGCAAATAGAGGTAGATTTTAACAAGAAATTATTCAAAATATCATAATTTCTCACTCTGTCAAAGAAATATTTACAAATGAGAGAATTAATGAGAATGATTATTTTAGTATGACAGTATTTCATAAGTCAATGAACAAAGAAACACAGCTTGCGAAAATATATTCTTTATATTAAATAATATAGTAGATATAACAATGACAAGAGTAAAATCCATCATAATTTACAGAACACTTTTCTTCAGTACTTGTGAAACATTTCTATTAGCCTACATGCCATCTAATCTGATGAAGACTAACAGAATAAAACCTGCTTAAGCTATTTAAGCTCAGTTGTAAAACAGAACAAAACTGGCAAAAATATGAAGGAGAAAAGCATAAGATCATACCTTGAAAAATTGGAAAATGTGACAATTATTAAGCCTTGCATGTGAAATGTCACATTTAAAATAAAGCTGTTTTGATGCTTGTTTACTGAGACAACTATTTTCATTTTTTGCTTAACCAATCCCTGAAAAAAAAAATAGGGATCATTTGACATAGGTACATTGGAAATACAAATCAGACTTTTGAAGTGTATATTTCTTCATATCACAAAATATATGAACTAAACAAACATGTTAAATAATGTTCTTACTTTACAAGGGAATGTCAATAGCATACTATCAAGTTAAAATTAGTTTTTCAGTATCAGAGGCTGTAATTACAAATACTCAAATAATAACTGCATTCATGCCATTTCTAGTTATATCAAACACAAGTAAGCTTTCCAATAAATATAGTAACTGTATTATTTACCTACAAATAAAGATGAGCAAATAACCAACTTAAATAAAGTAGCAAAATAAGAAAATGAAATGTTAGGAACATAGAAGTGTAAATTTCTTAAAAGGCAAGGAAAACTCTCTGCATGGAATGGTTCATCATGAATGAGGAGACGTCCATTAATCACTTAACACAAATTTGAAGTGCACTTGAACCTCTTTAAATAATTAGATAGCATTTGCTACCCCCCCACACACACACAAACATACATACATACAACATACAAACACATATGTACACCCTTAATTAGTAAATATGAACTATGTAGCAGTAAAAATAATGTTTATTAAATTTATTTGTCTTCTGTCATAAAATGTACGATAATTAAAGTCAGAATAAGTTAGTAATGCAGACTGTATCTAACATTAATGTTGGTGGCATAGAGGGAAGGATGTTTAGGCAAGAAAATTTTTGTTAAGCCATGCACACACCATCATGGACGCAAATTGGATAACAGTCTGCTGTTTTTTCTTTGTAATCTAACAGATTCAATCAATGTAGCATTGATGAAAAATACTTCTCTTTACTGTAAGAATTTATAATATCATTACTTAAAAATTCATTATATATATTTTAAAAATTCAATTTGTTAATATTTTAATGTTTTAGTTAAGACTTAATTAAAAAAATTATTTCAGAAATGTTAAAAATAAAAATTTTTTTTAAAAATATCAAGGTTCCATAAGACTAAACTAACGCCCCTATCACAGGGTAACTGCCTCAAACACCCTGCCCCTCTTTGGTGTTAATACACGGACAACTCCTTACATCATCGAAATTAGCACAAAGTTTTTCAAATTATGTCATTGTTAAGTAATATATTTAAGAACACCATTATATATAAATGGAGAAGAGTAGCCAAAGAATAATGAAAGTGAAACAGTAAAATTATGTGTTATAAAAAATGGTACAAAATAACACCTAATTAAGAGATATCCAAAAATATATAGAGAGATTTTTTTCCATATTGAACGATGTTTCATTAGAAAAGTTATCTATCAATTCAATAATAATTCAGATCAATAATTCTATTCAACGAATGTAAATTAATTTATATCATAATTAGTACGATCATCAATAAGTGCACTTTTATCATCCTACCAGAATACAAATATTTTATCTGAAGAGAACTTTCTTTTTCAATTTAAGCTTTGATAATGACAGATACTTAAAAAATTGAGAGTTACACAGAAAAATGTATTGTGGTTACAAATTCTTATTTGACAGAATTTGTCTTCATATCTCAATTCTTCCAAACCATTATTCTCAAGCAGTATATAAATCGAAACCATATTACACATATTCGTGTTGTATTATTTGCTTGAGGGAATCAGTATTTCTCATACTCCCATCTTAGAAGGTTCACAAGCAAAACTCTTGGGAAGGCATCATGTATATTATCATAATTGTATTGTCAAGTCGAACTTGCGAAGGTATCATATATCTTGCAAGTTTCTTATCAGCATTAAAAATTATTTTGTAACAGTCTTTATGGAACAATTCAATGAAATATGGAAAAACTGAAGAAATTGAATTCTTCACGTCCTAGGCCTGAATTTATGTCTGAATGAATTCTACCTCTGCTATTATAACAATTTATCACTGTTATATTAAGCATTATCAACAAGTTGTGATTTTCAAATTGATTTATCCACAGAACAAAAAGTACAATTTATTTCTGTCTAAAATCACACACTGTACACAATCTTATTGGTTTTCATTACAATTACCTTGCAAAAAATTTGCCTATATTTTTTTTGTTTTGTTTTTATATTTGAAAGAATTTTTAAAAAGATATAACACCACAAATGCCTATTCTGTTAGGCAACATGCACATTTAGGTACTGGTTTGCGTGGATGAACATGTGAAAATTTGCATAAAATATAAATTACAAAGAAACAATTGTTGATGGTTGTGATATTGTCTGGGAGTTACTGATTCTCTTGTTTTTCTACATATTTATGATTAGTTGCTGCATGTTATTTTATTTACTGTAATGATAAAACGTACTTGGGAAACAATAACAGAATAGAACATAAATTTGACCTTCACAGAAGTATAGAAAATATATATTGTAAATTGTAAACATGGAACAGAAAAGTTTAAAACATTTTTCACTCTTCTTATAAGTTTCCAAAACTGCTAAGACATTAATAGATATGATTACTATGTAAAAGAATAAAATAGTCTTTGGAGTGAAAATAAAATTTTGTAGGCGCAAATTTATAAGATGTCTTTGCTAAATTAACAAATAGATTTAGTAATGGGAAAACAATTTTGTAATATTTCAACACAAGACATTTTGCATCACAAAATTTCCATAATTTGTGCAATTTGTTCACTCAACCCAAACAATAATTGTGTGAAATTAGCTAGTATGTGATGAATAATATTTTCACTCAGAAAAAAGTGGAAAAAATTTGTTTGGGTATATTTTTAAATTCACCTGCTGAGAATATTAAATGACGAGTCTTTTAGACACTATTATGCATATACAGTATAAAAGTTTACTGTTTTTTTCAGGTTAAGCTCACAAGAGAACATGAGAAAGCATGAGATAAGTATCATCTAGACAGTTCAATACATCCATACAGAAATTAATTTTTAATCATTGACTGTACCTTCATCATCTGTAGGCCAGAAAAAAATTACAGAAATACATAATATTTGGAAAGTGATGTCAATCAATTCGGAGATGCAACCATATATACCAAGAAAACCAATTAAAAATTCATAAATACAGATTTGCAAATTAATCTACAAATGGATCAGGAGAACTTGGTTTTATTCCATCCTCAATTTTTTCTCTAATTTCACAATTGTCTCTCACAAAAATGTACTTTCTAAGGGACTCTTTCCAAGAGTTTAAGGGACTCGCTTTTCGCAGAAATCTCAAGAGACTTGTAGAAGTCTTAAGCCATATTTTTGAATTGCAGTTCAAGGTTTCAAAATTTTAATTTTGTTTCATTTCACAACAAGAACAATAGCACTGATCACATATATACAGTTTGATAGCTCGTTGTAATAAAACAATTCTGAATATTCTGTTCAGTCATTGTTTTCAAATTTCACTTTTTAAATACATTGTGATTTAAAATCTTAACAATTTTTTGATGAGTTCGCTTGATCCAAGAGAGTGGGGATCATAGGGATTATGCCCCCCATCACCACCACCAACATCATCACCTACAATTAATATTTTTTTAGAAATATTACTCAGTTTATTCAAAATGTAATCACATCACATCACATCACATCTTATTCACAATAGTAATCTCTTTATGAATGGACTTTCTTTTTTCATTTCAAGCAATTATTTTTATTATATCAATTTTTGTTTTAACAGGACAAGGCTATTCAAAATTGCACCCCTCTCCTGAAAACTTTTTGAATCTGCCTCTATTTGAAATGTTCATTTCTTCTGTAATGAGGAAGACTAAATAAGTTTTGCCTAGAGACAGGATTTCCATACAAATGCATGTTTTTTAAGTAATATGCCACAGTTTTCAATTTCTGTAAATATTACACGTTTCATGGCATGCTCCTTTACAAAATATACATATTTTTCATGGATGTTTAGATTTCTTTGTGTTCATGCATAAAACATGTTTCTATCTTGGTCTAACAAGAGGGCGGAAAAGAACACAATCATTCAGACCAAATGTTATCATACTAGACAATCTAAGGAATAATCAACATCATCCGAGAGACGCCTTCAAGAGTTCCATAGAGCTCAAACGGTGGCCACCGTTGTTGGGCCGCCGATCGCGTCGACCACGATGCAGGCTAACATGGCTGAAATCCACTGTACGATTCCCCAAAACAAAATAAATATATTCACGGAAATGCTAATTTCATCCCCCCCATAAGTTATCCCCAATAATGAACGAAAGAAGTCCTCACGCGAAAAGTAACGGTACTACAATCCAAGTCAATTCATAAATTACAATCCAATGCTCTCTTCTGCAATGCTCCTCGTTTAAACGATATCTAGATGCACTACACGTACAGAGATGCCACTAACGAAGTGAAAAATTGTTAATAGTTCTTAATATTTTGAACATAAAAGGGAAAATAGGGAGACTGGAGGTCTTTCTTTCGATGTTAAATACCTTCGAAGAGACTCATCGCACGCGGTCGTAACAGCCACTTAAAATTTTTCGAATAAGTATAAGTAATAAGTATAAGTAATAAGTATTAATTTGCGGACCTATTAGTTGGCACTTGCCTACTTACATAGAGTATTTTCCATCCACGAATTGATTACCACCACTTTTGAAACACCCTTAATATTCTACTGAGAGTCGGACGCAGCGTCCGAGATGGTCGAGTTGGAAGCGGCGTCTGACAGGGTGGCGACGTCGCTGGTGGAGCCTTTGGCGTCGTTGGCGTCCGGGTCGACTGCGACGCCATCGTGGGCAGGCGACGCTTCGCCGTCTGAAGCGGTGGCGTCGGCAACGACGACAGCGACGGCGAGGGCGGAGGCTTCGACGGCGGCGACGGCGGTGGTGGCGCCGTCAACCGCGTCTCCGTTGGCGCCG